AGGTACAAACTTCCAATTATAAAATAAAGAAGTCATGGGGATGTCATGGACAGCATGGTGACTGCTGTTAATACTGAATTGCATATTTGAAAGTTGCTAAGACAGTAGATCTTAAAAGTCTCATCGCAAGAAGAAAAATCTTCTGTGTAGTAATCAATGTTAACTAGACTTTATTGCAAGGATCATTTCATAATATATACAAAATATCAAATCATTATGTTGTACATCCAAAACTAATATATGTCAATTATATCTCAATAAAATATATACAAGCCCCCCCCCCAGCAGCAGTGCTCTAAGAGTGTAACACCATTTGCATGCCTAACAATTACTGAGGACCCTAAAGAGCTTTTGTTTATATGGGTTATATCTATCTACTGATGCTTACCATATCAAAAATTAAAAGAAAGTTAAAACATAATGGCTAACAAAACAAATTTTGGAAATCTGTTTACAGATGGAAATCTGTATATACTGATGGATGAAGCTGTGGGAATAAATGAAATTGCCTAAAAAGGAACATGGCAAATATACAAGCCAAAAAACAAAAAACAAACAAAAAAACCCTAAGATTAAACCAGTACAGGGTTAAGGGGACAGTCATAAAGCAAGATCAAGGATTAAATGGAACCAAAAGCCAAATGAAAGCCAGGAGAGTGTAAACCCAGAAGCCACTTTTAAGAAAGAGTGTTCAAGGGGCTCCTGGGTGGCTCAGTCCTTAAGCATCTGCCTTCGGCTCAGGTCATGGTCCCGGGGTCCTGGGATCGAGCCCCACATCGGGCTCCTCACTCAGCGGGAAGCCTGCTTCTCCTTCTCCCACTCCCCTGCTTGTGTTCCCTCTCTCTCTGTGTCTCTGTCAAATAAATAAAATCTTAAAAATAAATAAATAAATAAATAAAATAAATAAAAACCAGAAATCTACCCTATTCATCTTTGTTATCCTCACTGACTAGAAATAAATGCCCTGGTCATAACAGTCATTCAGTGAACACTGAGTGAACAAGAATATAACATCTGCATAACAACTGTATAGAAAGCTGAAGTAGACAAACAGGAAATCAGGTAAATAGAAGATAAATTTTAAGACAACAAAAAAACAGAATCAAATATAGAGGCCATGAGATACAACAGGGAAAAAAGCACTGGTCTGGAGGTGTTGGGATCTCTTTGGAATTCACATCAATTCTAATCAAGATTTTGGCAATAAAAAATGCTATAACCTTAAGCAAATCACTTTCCTCCCTGGATCTCAATATCCTCATTTGTAAAGTAAAACGTAAGACTACATGAGTTCTATGTTGCCTTATGTGCCAAAAGGATGATTTTAAAGCAGCAGAAACATGTATTCCTGAAAAACAGCACCAACACATCAGCTATAATACCCCATGTGAGTTAGTATAACTCTTAAGCAAAGGATATCATTCAGGTAGGATGCACAATTCCATAAATATTAGTAAGAGATCACATCAATAGCAGCCAGGGCCAACCAAAAATTATATCCATACAAACCTAATGTGGAAATCACTGATACATTCACTCATTCAATAAATCTAAACAAGAATCAAGTTTTGCCAAAGGCAAAGGTTAAGAGATCTGAAGAGAAAGAGACAAAATGCAAAATTCTGTTTGTTATTCCCTAGAAATAATGACAACACAGAGCATATGTAGCATGCATGTGCATGCATACATACATACAAAAGAGCAAAACAAAAAGCATTTTTATGCTTTTTATGATTTGAAAGGCTCCTTAAAATGAATCACATAATTTATTTGGGCTAGAACAGACCAACAGTTCCCAATATTTTAGCAAAAAGTAAGCTTCAATTATATGCACATCTGGGGTACATTCTCTCTACCCTACAAGAGAAGTCCCGTTGGGATATTAAGAACCAAATATGCAAAGGATCAAAGACATTCTTAACCTTGAAAACCAAAACAATTCACAGACCTTTCAACTACATTACCATAATAAACTTTTACCTTAAAACAAATGAATCTTCCACCTCAGATAATAATAATAAATTTTCATTTTGAAATCTACCAGACTCAATACAGTAATATCTATAATCAATATTTTTTAATATAAGCTCAGTTCTTAGTACTAGGCTAACTATCATAGAAGACTAAGAGAACTAAAAGGTTAAGATGCTTTCCCCAAGAAAATCCCAATCTTTCTTACTTACTTGCAATCTTACTTAGTTACAGATTACTGTAAGCACATATAGTCCCACTTCCCCAATATCCCTCCCAAAAACCTGGGAAGAAAGGTGAACAATTCCAATACCCATTTACATTTCAAAATATGTTTAAGTTAAAGGAGTTCCTACAAGACAAATATTACAAACAAAACAGATCCAGATATATGGGAAGAAAATATACTGTACCCCAAAGATCATTTCTACAAAGGCAGCAAGACAAAGCACCCTGAATGAATAATCTCACATGTAGGAATATCTTACAACAAAAAACAGAATACTTTTTCAGTCGTCATAACTACAAATTAGAATCATTAAGGATAAAAAAACAAACCATCAAAAGACTTCATTTATACAAAATAAAGTTGAAGAAATTAATTATTATGTGTTCTAGCAATAATACTTTATCAATACCTCAATCTTCCTGTCAAATTTTTCAAAACGAAGGTAAAGTGGGAAAAATCAACTTTAAAGTTTCAAATTTAAACTTAAACAACATTTCCACTGCTTGTTCATATATATAATTAATGTCTATCTGTTCCTGACAGTGGCAGGACATAATTGGCTATACATGTCAACCTAGTTCAAGAAAGCCCAGAAACCCCTTAGGTTCAGCTATGTAGCATTCCAATGCTATTAATTATGTATAGACTATTAATTATTTAATTATGAATTTTAATCTACATAAATTTTTCAGCTCTATCTCCATGAATTAAACCCTAAATTCCCTTTAATATCAATTGCTCAAACAAAACAATTCTGGTTCTCTTCCAACAAATCAAGATCAGGTAATTAACAACTCTACTGGTTCCATTGCTTCACAAAAGAACAATATTATGCTCATTTCTTTACAGCCTAGCAAGCACTTTGACACACATTATTTCATTTCAGTCTTCCAACAACCCTATGACGTAAGGCAAAAATTACCATTTTATTTCATGGAAAAGGAAAGAGATTTGGATAAGTTAGGTAACTGGTACAAAGTTCACTGCTAGAAAGGAGGTGAACAAAGACCAGAACGCACATGTCCTGACTCCATGTCCAAGTAACATTCCACAACATCACACAAATGAAAGCTTTTCTAAAAATCACTGAACTTAAAAACTATACTTTTCCTACTTAATCAAACCCTTTGTAAATATAAGAATTAAGATTCTAAAGCAAATGCAAACAGTAAAAAGGGTAGTCTAAACCACCTCCTATCTATATAAACATTATTTTGAAAAACAAATACAGTTGATCCTTCAACAACTTGGGTTTGAACTGCACAGGTCCACTTATATGCAGATTTTTTTTCGATAGAGTATAGTACTATAAATGTATTCTCTTTTCCTTATGATTTTCCTAACAACTTTTCTCTAGCTTACTTTATTGTAAGAATACAGTATATAATGGATATAACATACAAAATATGTACTGACTGTTTATGCTATTGGTAAAGCTTCCCATCAATAGCAGCCTAGTTGTAGTTAAGTCTTGCAACAGTCAAAAGCTATACACAAATTTTCAACTGCAACGGCACCCCTAAACCCCACAGAGTTCAAGGGTCAACTGTATAAGGCTCAAAAGCAGTTCAAATACTACAGTAAAAAGAGCCTGAAGTTAAAATAAATCTATTATATTCACCCTATCACACCACACACAACCAACTCTGCATAATGCATACTAGCAGAGAATAGGTGAGGTTAGCTAGATATTATTTACTATAATGACTTGAAAAAAATTGTCTAAAAACCTTCACTTTTCCTAGTCTTAACCTTCTCTTGGCTTTGCTCCAGTCTAGTCTAGGAGTCTCCACAGTAGAGTGACAATCCACTGAAATATGGGAATTATTAGAGCACTGTGCCCATTTTTTTCAACCTAAAAATAAGATTTCCTTTTCACTAAATAATGTACTATATGAACTGACACTACCACCCTGACATAAACTCAAAAATACACATATAATTGGAAATTGGGGGTAGGCTCAAAAGTTTTTCACAAAAGGGATTCCTATTCAAGAAAATCTGGAGATCACTGCTACAAATAGAGAAGTAGGTAAGTCGTAGAAGACAAGTTGACTCTCGACTGCATCAAATAATCAAATCTATTTAAGGTGTTCAATATCCTACAGTACATACACAAATAACAATTTTTCATCTGCAATTGCATAATCTATGCCGATAGGGATATATCTTACCTCATCCTGGACTCCACTGGTAGTAGTCAGCTTGCTCCCATCAGTAATCGTAATAATTATTGCTGGCTCCAAGAAAAAAGGGTTTCGTCCCTAAAGTCAAAAAACACATCAATCATATTAAGGTCTAGACATCAGCTCAATTTTTCTGAGTAAAAAGTCAATTCTTAGAACACTGTATAAATCCACCTTTCTTGTCAAGTTTTATGCATAGTATATACTTTTTGTACATTAAAAAAAGGTTCTGAAAGAAACATACACTAAACAGAAGTTAACCTTAAAGGAATGGGGTTAGGTAGTGGAAAAGATTTTTCACTTCTTTCTACATTTTTGTATTGTTTTAATTTTTATGGTGAGCATTTATATTTATGTAACTAACTAAAAGTGCTTAATTTTTTAATAGGGACCCTACAGTTCAATTCATATTGAGATATTAAAAATTAAAATAGACACTATTTTTCTGAGAAACTTCTTAGAGAGAAAGGCAAAATAGTAGGTGAACATTACAAGGAAATATAATTTATGCTTGTAATCAAAGTGTCTAACCAAGTGACTGGATATATGGATGGAAGAGCTCTAAAATCCATTCCATGGGAACACTAGGGCTACTCTAAGCTTAGCAAAAATTAATGAGAGTCCAATTTGAAAAATTAAAAAGGATGGTTACTTAAACCGCTTGGCAAGAGAAGGTACAAAAACAACAGTAGCAAAGGCAATGGAAGACAGTGGCACAAAACTCACTGCTCTGTCTGTAGGGTGAAATAACTTCAATAACTTCCATTCAAATCTCTGGCTAAGTTACTCTGAGTACTACGGTCAATTCTAGGGGATGCATTTTGTGAGAGAATTAGATAAACATAAGCTTATCTTTTACGTATAAATGGCTCTCATTTAAGATATTAAGCGCATTCATTAAGCACATTTAAGACAAAATTATGACCAAAGGATAAAAGTTCAACAGGGTAAACCTGTGTTTGTTTGAAATCAAAGGTATCAAACTCTCTGCTACTAACACTGTTCAAGAAAGGACAGAATGAAGTTTTGCTGAATATGTCACAGAACAGCATATGACAAATTTTAATGTGCATATGGATCACTTGGAAATCTTGTTAAAATGCAAGTTCTAATTCAGCAAGTCTGGGATGAAGACAAAGGTTCCACATTTCTAACAAGATTGTAGTCTAGGAGATGCTAATGTCCATAGACCATATTTGGAATAGCGAGGGTGTAGAAGGGTTATATACATGTAATACTCTATGGTTCAATAAACTTCCCTTACATTTATATAACTCTCAGTCACTAGCATATTACAGCACATACTTTGTTAAATGCATTTACAAACACTTTTCACATACACAAACTGTGATTACAACTAATTTTCAAAAAGTGGGAGTGGAGATTTGGTAGTTGAAAACTTCTTGATCAAGTTACACAACTTGTAGGTAGCATATACATTTTTCAAACTGGTGTCCAAGAGATAACCATCCCAGTGGAGAAAACGTCCTCTGGTCAAATTAAAATATGGTGGATGTAACCTCTAGATTTCAAATGCATAGTAGCATCCAAATGTTACAGAAGACTTGCAGGGGGGAAAAAAACATGAATTTACCCTTCCTCCTTCTCTACAACATTCATGGCAAATGGAACACATTTTGTGAAACATTACACTATACTGTCACATCATTCACCTCCAACATAATAATAAATTCTATGCAGGTCTTCTCACGGACCTAGAGATACGCAATGTTCATTCTAACCTCTGAGCTTGGAGTGGCTCCCTCAAATAAAATGTCTTTTCTTTTCACTGCCCACAGCCCACCCAATTCCTAATCATTCTTCAAAACCAAATTAAAGTCCTCATCTTTTTCCACGAAGCCTTCCCTGATTAGCCTGCTCTTAAAAAATTAGTTCTTTCTCATCAAATTCTAATAGTGGCAACTTTCAGACTCAATAAAAATACAGATACAGTAGAATATTTCTTCAAATAACGTTGGATTTGGAGTGGTTTCATGGAGTACATTTTGAATACTACTCCCTACAGCATTTATCCTCTCCAAATTATTTTTAACTTAATACATAACACCTTGCACAATGTGAATATACTCAACACTACTGAATACACTCAAAAATGGTTAAGATAGTAAACTGTTATGTGTTTTTACTACGGTTCTTTAAAAATACACCATCTTGTATTATTTGCTATGGTTTCAGGTGTTTGAATCAACTGAAGGCAAGGATCATGTTATATTTCTTCCTCAGCACTGAGCACAAAATACCTGAGCACTGGGCACTTAAATACTCACTGATTCACCAACTGTAGTTTAATACAAAACTACCGATGTTCATGGAACCATTTAGAATTAATCAAACTTCAACAAGTTTTGAAAGAAATATAGATATGTTACCTTTACCTCAATACAAATACCTTCTCTAACTTATGAATTTGCTGGGATACAAGGATACACTACCTGCCTTCTATATCTGTTTTGCCATCTGCTAATCATTTATTCCTGTTTGTCATTCAAATATTTACTGAGTGGCTACCATATATCAGGCACTGTGTTAGGTGCATGATACATAATCTCCAACCTCACAAATAATAAATGTACATTTAACAACAACTTTCTTCTGGTCTCTACAAATTCCACTGCAGATCAAAAATTGGCAAAGGGAGATAAAAAAGGCCAAGATGTCCTCATATCTTCAGTATTATTGTATCTTGCTTCCACCCTTAAGCTAAAACTACTCTGTGTAACTTGCTGCCTTTCAAAAAACAAATCAGTAATCTCTTAAAGCCACAACAACATGGACCAAATACTTGCAACAGTGTTTCTGTATCACCTCTACATTTTAGCCTAACTAAAATTTTCTTTGTATTTCCTGAATGAGAGTGTGACATCCATCAATTCTTATTCCTATGTAAGCACATTAAGAATTATCCTCCAGAGGCCAGAAAGTTAGTCATATCTATAATTGAAGAACAATGATCTATGATGTATTAGGAACTTCATGGATGGGTGGCTTATAAGAGTCTGCCTTCGGCTCAGGTCATGATCCCAGGGTCCTGGGATGGAGTCCAACATCAGGGTTCCCTGCTCAGCGGGAAGTCTGCTTCTCCCTCTCCCCTCACCTGCCACTTTCCCTGCTTACACACACACGCACTCTCCTTCTGTCAAATAAATTAATTTAATTTAAAAGAAAAAAGAACTTTATGATGATGTCCATCCAAAAACTAATACTTTCTTAAGGACCGTAATATCTAAAGATCAAGTTAAAATGAATTAAAATTTAGCCAAGTCTTTGAGGTATTAAAAATTAAGCTAAATTCGAACATCAAAATAAAAGTTACTTTTTCCTTGACAACAAGCTTTTAGTTGAAACTTTACTAGAGTGATACATATACTTTCCACAGAGGCTAGGCCTGAAATTACTAGAATAATCAGGTACTCGATAATAACAGTAAAACAGCTGTATTACCTCATTTAACCCTAAAAACTTGGTGAGGTAAAATATTCACTGAGATTAAATAATATAATCCAAAGTCAGCCAGCTGGTAACTGACACAGCCAAAACCTTATTCCAACTCTAAATATCATCTGAAAGTCCTGTTGGTAGCAACTAAATTCTCTTGGATACAGTTCTACACCAACCTGGACTGTGCCATATTCACACAACAATGAATGGTGTTACAATCAGTTTGGCTTTATTTAATATATTCTATCTGCAGCAAAATTAACTAGAGGAGAACTATTTCTTTCCTTAGTTTCCTGTTGTTTTGTAATGTCTTACCCACGAATTTTTCTATATATAAATCAGTACACCTCCCCCCAACAAAAACACTGAGGCAAAATGCAATATATATCAACATCTACTTTTGAAAACTAAATAATTTCAGCCAACTTTCAAAAAGCATATATACGAAAGCAAGATAAAACATTAAGTTCTTTAATGGCTTTAAATTTTGGAAAATTCAGACAGAGATCAAAGGTAGAGAAAAGTAAAGAAAAATATGACCATCCTCATTTCACCTATTTATTTAACCCTAACATGCCTAAGATCCCTTCCTCTCTGACATAAGTTTAGTCAAGAATCACACTAAGAAAAGCAATAGAAGTATGTTAATTAAAAAAAAAAATCACACTAAGAAAAGCAATAGGATTAGTCATGATAAAAATTAGAATAATGACTTAATGAATGTATATACAAAAGGGCGTTTTTTATTTCTTCAGGAACAAATTATCCCTACCTCTATATATAAATGTTAGAATTAATAATTTAAGCGTAAATTTCTAAATCACCTGCAGAAAATGATCCGATGATGTTGCTCCAACAAAGTTTTCTCCTCTCCTGCCTTTGGTAGTGCACTTATTCTTGGCAGAAGCACAAGAAATAATTGACATCTTTCTTTCACAACAGTTTTACCCAAGAAATTAAAACACATTTCTGGCTGTCTACCAGTATCACAAGATTTTCTGCATGTTTTATAAAGAATAATTTAACATTTCAAAGGTCTAAAAGTTGTGATTTAATCATTGCAATACAATGCCATTAGCCATTTGGTGCCAAGTCAACATAGTTTAATAATTCCCAAATCTTTATATTTAAGAATAAATACGATACATTTTTATTCTTAGCAAGTATGTTTATAAAGTCACTCAATTTGGGGATGACTGTCCATATTAGAATATCCCTCAAAATTCACCTTGATCATAAAGTTATAAACAGCCTCTATCTTAGTTATAAAATCTCCCCACAAAATAATATTAAGCTCTGCTACAACAAAGGCAACCAGTAGAGGGACTAAAAGTTTACTTTTGTCATTAGCAGAATTAAAATCAGATGGTTCTCTCAGAGCTGTGGCTCTTTGGCAAAAAGAAATCTAAACATGTCCCTTGATAATATAGTGCAAGGTATAATATTCTACCTATAGAGCTATTTACTAATGGAAATCTTGTCATTTAGAAAACTGATTTATAAAAAAAGAAAGAAAAGAAAATTGATTTTAATGCTGGCCAAAAATCTCAAGTAAAATTTTTGCTAAAGATAAAATAAAGCAAAAATGTTCAGTTCTCTCAATAATTTAATATTATCAT